AGTAGGCTCTACGCACACAACAGACATGCAAGCATCTGTGTGATAAGCCACCACAACTCCATCAGCGCACTGAGCAATGTAACTGTCGTATGCAGAGCCATCACAACAAGTTTCCGTTCCATAAGCACACTCCAAGCTTCCAAAGCCACAGGCACTGCCAGGGTTGGGCTGCTCATCAGGACAAGTAGTAGGAAGGGTTGGGCTCCCTGTAGGACCAGCAGTGGGTGTACCGGTTGGGGCTGCGGTTGGAGAACCGGTGGGTGCTGCAGTTGGTGTAGCAGTTGGAGATCCGGTAGGACCAGCAGTGGGTGTATCAGTCGGAGAGCTGGTGGGTGCTGCAGTTGGGGCTCCTGTGGGTGGGACTGCAGAGACTCCACACCATTGACCATTACAGTTTCCCTCACAGTTTGATTGAAGCTGGTTGCACCAGTCTCCTCCCTCTTCAACACCATTGCAGCCATTGTAGTTACAGTATCCTCCGGTGGGTGTTGCTGGGGTAGGTGCCGGCCCTCCGGAACCACACCATTGACCATTACAGTTTCCCTCACAGTTTGATTGAAGCTTGTTGCACCAGTCTCCTCCCTCTTCAACACCATTGCAGCCATTGTAGTTACAGTATCCTCCGGTGGGTGTAGCTGGGGTAGGTGCCGGTGCGACGGGAGTGGGTGCTGGGTTTGTGGGCTCCTTATAACAGTCTGCTCCTACACAGTTGACACAGATTTCAATGTGGCTGATGTCTGCAATGTTACCGCCACTGTTGGTGGCAGCAAAAAAATTGCCACCATTGTTCGTGTTATCATAGAGAACACCACCGTTTCCACCCTTCATCTTGATGGCCAAGTTGGAATCACCCTCACCACTCCAAGAAATGGTGGCGGACTTGTCAGAATTGCACTGTACTGTGACGCTGATCTTATCAGCAATGCCACAAGACCCCTTGACTTGACCATTGCTGATGGCATCAAGAGTGAAAGAACCACCTTGGCAACCATTCATCTTCCACCCATAATCAAATCCAAAGGGAGGAGAAGATCCTCCTGAGACACACTGGGGATTACCACTGTATGTTCCGTAGCTCATCCCAGAGGGAACTGGGTCAGCTCCACAGCCAGAGGTGGAGCCTGTCTTGTCGTCCGTAGTGGATGGGTCTGTGCCGGATCCACAATTAATGGTCCCTGTAAAGGTATCGCCGTGCAGCTGAAGGTTTCCAGCTTGAGCATCAAGCTCCTTGGCATAGATGGCGCCATCAACATAGCCAGCTCCATCGAGGACAATAACCTTGGCGTTTGGGGCAATGATGGTTGGACCAAACTGGCGGCCTGCATAGTCTGCAATGTAAATGTCATCGTATGTATTGAAGACAGCGAGCGTGAGACCATCGTCATTGCCGTCGCCACCAGGAACGAAGTCATCGACAGTGTAGGGTCGAGAGCTTCCACCGGAAGTGTACACAACAACATTTGTGCTGTTCTGGGCATGGGTGGCAATGTAGTTCATCCGGTCATACAAGTTATCAGCAAAGCAGCTGTCTCCAGTTTGTTTGCCACCGTTGAAGTTGAAGGAACATTTTCCCTTCATCTCCTTGATGTATGACTTGGTTTTATCCACAGTAGCACTCTCGTTGGGGCTTCCATCGGTTCTACGGAATGAGTGGAAAGTGGTGAATGAAGTGAGATTGACCGACAGAGGTCCGACATGATCATGCCACCTGACACAGCTTATCGATCTACTTACAGAGTACCACCAACGGCAATACCGTAGTACATGCTATGGGCAGCAATATTGGCATCCCCAAAGGTGACCACTGAGTAGCTGAATGCAGCAGGGGGAATGGCACAAACCTCTGTTGCGATATCAGCAGGGCATGGATCATTAGCATTGGCCACCATCACGGTGCTTACCAGTAGGAGGGTGATCAAGTTGAGTCTCGTCATTGTTGTTGATGTCGGGTTGTTTGTTGCTGTTTGCTTTGGTTGCTAGCAATTTAGAAGAACCTCTAGAAGAAGAAGTGAGCACAAATGGTTCCGGTTTTGGTTTGACCAGAGCGGCTCTTGCTCTCCTCCAAGCAAGACAGCCAGATCACCCAGATTTCTGGTTGGGATTTTCGAAGGATTGCCTCAATCATAGATGCCTTGGCGCGACGAAGGCCCAAAGAGTTTTTCAATTGCCACTGGTGCATCATCAGATTGGCTAGAAAGATGCCACGATGCCAAAGATGTTGCGTGAAGAGGTCTTTTCAAAGTCTCGTAGTTTGCTGGGTTACTACCTCGACGAACCTCGACGAGTAGAATCCACGGTACTAATACGCTCGTCGGTCTACGTACGTTCTGAGATTCAGGCCAGTCTGTAATATTATTAATACAGTAGTCTTATTTGCTCGGAAATTCTGCACACAACTTCATGTCCTGTTGCCGGTTACCGGTATTCCTCAAGATTTATTGGTACGAATGTACTCAGTACCGCTGCTACATGTACACAAACTACAGTCGTACCTAGTGAAGCTAAAGTGATCAACTTTGCACGTGAATTGTCGCTAATGTCCCCAGTCCCCAGCTCTAGAGATCTACTCTGTCGGCCGTACGTACACATGACACTGTGGACGTGTGGACCACTGGTAGAAATAATTTTCAGAACATCAAAAGCATGTTCAACATGTCTTCGCCGAGCTTCGCCGAGCTTCGCCGCCAAGATTTAAAGGAATGTACTCATTAACTCTAGTGACGCATAACGCATAAATATTAACACGAAGAAACCGAGAATTAAAGGAAAAGACTTGGCTTCTCCTTAAAATGTCCTCTTCTGAGATCCAAGTCGATCGTACTGGTACTGAGTGCAGAGTGCAGTAAATCGCAAACATGCAGTCAGTAGACTACCATGGTACGGACTATTGGAGTGGCGACCACTTTCTTACCTGGCAAACATATTATTATTCACTTGTGTTGGTCAGTTTTTCCACCACCACATACATAATCTGATACCGGTAGCGGCAACTCCCAAGCACCAAGCTGGCTAGCACGCTCGCACGAGCTACGATTGGAGGGATCGACCATTAGTCTACAAGTGAATTGTCACACCCACCAGCCACACCTGCCTCCAACAGTCACAAACCCATCGAACAAATAAATGTATTCACCTCTGGGACAGCACTCGGAAAGCCAAGGACTCTGGAGAAACTGTTCCAGCTTCCAGCAAGCAAAACCTTTTATTCACCCTCCAACCTCCAACTGGCTGGAGCGAGGTGAGAAAAGATCCAGTAGCTCCAGTTTACCATACAGTTGTCGCTCTAGAGTAGCTGATGGAAGAGCCCTCTCGTCCGGGTCCGATGGGAAGGAAGCAACCGGGTGAGCGCTGCGTTGGTTGTCGTATCAATTTGACAGTGTACTCAGTACTCAGAGGCGAGCTGAACGGAATTATTGGGTCATACTGCTCAGTAACCAGAGAGTTCAGTTCACCCTCATCATCGCGTTCATGAGCGGTGCCAGGTGTTGTCCTTTGCTCCAAGAACACTTGCCACTGACGGTTGCCGACTTCCAAACCAGTGCCTGCTGTGTTGTTACAATCGCGCAAGTCGAAACTCTCCAGTTCACTGTAGCGTAAAAAGAGAGATTCGGTTGAGATTCAGAGATCCCGCGACTCGACTCGACTCCGCTACTTGAGATTTTTGGCTACGTTAGTCTACCGGTAGGCTGCGCCATGAAGTACAAAAGTAAAAGGACCAGCTAGTGTAGCAGTGCGGAAGCATTTCCACGCATAGCCAGAAAGAGTCGATGCCAACAAGAGAAAAGTAGAGCCTAATGGATCGCAGCATGCCCCAAGCAATCTTTCCGTGACCCATCACCGCATAGCTACTGGAGCACATCGGCAAGGACCAAGGAACCTATGCATACCTGCAGTATGGAAGAACAATAAGCAAACGAATCACTAACACAAGTGTATTGAATCGAATCGAATCAAGCAAAGTCAAGCCCTCAGGCCTCAGTGTTGGTCCTCGATATTATGTGGCCCCTGATCCCACGGAACCTAGACTCTAGTCCCGAATTTGGCCTCTGCTTTCCTGAGACTGGCCCCTCGCCGGCTCCCGCAGTACATGTAGTTTTAGGTTCGAGCCAAAATCAGAACGAACACCGGCATGTTTGGCGTCGAGCATACCGGCATTCCGCCAGCATTTCGTAGTCTAACTAGCTAGCTACTTGGCAGTGCGGTATCTTTCTTGGATCCATCTCTTTTTGCTCGTTCCTCGAGGTCACCATCGCCCAGCATCTGGCAAGGTTATCCATCATCTTTTGGCCCTTTCGTAGTTCGCCACAAGGAAAAGAAAACAACAGCGGCGACATCAAGTTTCAGGAGAGTTTTCCGAGCAACCATGGTATCCAGCCAATCATCCGTTCTGTCGCTGTTCTTAGTGGCTTGTGGCTTGTTGATGCTAGGCGCAAGGAGCCAGCAACATGTACAACAAAGAACAACAAGCAGAAAATCTGGCAGTATTCGAAGAAACTTGGGTGCTGATTGCGAGAAAACTTGCAAGAATGCCCCCTTCAAAGATTTGGAGTATTTTGATGGTGATGTCCTGCTAAAGCCAGAGGAAATGTTGGGGCGACTCAAGAGGCATCGCAAAATGTGGGTGGAGGAACAACTGAAGAAGGACTATGGAGATGAAAACTACAACAACATGTTTGAGCCAATGGAACTGTGTGGAACAACGAAACACAAACAGAGGAAGAAGTTCAAGTCAGTGCTGGACGCCAACGAATCTTTCAAGATCCCGCCATCTTACCAAAGACCAAACGTCCCGACCGAGAGACACTGCCCACAGAAGGACCAGCATGGAGTAGGATGGTTCGGAAAATTCAAATGAAAGTTTTGCAAGTGCAGTTGGGTGTCTTGGAGGAACGCAAAAATGCTCATCCCATTTGCCTGGATGACTGCGCCAATGCCAACGATGAGCAAATAAGCAAGAGACGATTTCTTGATAAAATCAAACCATCGGGAGGTTTCTATTCAAAGTTCATCTGGGCTACTGGAGGGCACAGGTAAGTACTTGGCTTGCTCTAGCAAGCTAGGAAACTACAGTGTGTTTTCAACTCTCTCCTTATTATCATTGATTTTTATTCTCTGCGCAAGAGTAGTGCTTCGGCTGGCCATGGCAACTTATTCCGAGAAAGCTACACAGCAAACATGGATCGGGCTTTGACACCCATTCTGGCTAGCATTGGTTTGGATTTTGAGGCTCGTAATTATGCAATGGGCGGTACTGACTCTGCTGAGGAAGTTGCACTCTGCTGGAATTCCATCTTTGGAAGAGATGTTGATGCTATCAGGTACCATGGAGGCTGGGCAAACTGCAGACTTCACTACCCAAGATTTTTCATTCTCACATTGTGGATTCTGTGTATCTCTCTTGTTGTACAGTTGGGATTATGGCATGACCGATGGACATGATTTGTGGAAGGTGACCATGTATGCCTACAAGGCTGCAGGGATCTCTCGCATTAAGGATTCTGAAAGCTTGTCGCAACCAGGAAACATTGGCCATCGTCCCGCATTCTTTCCAATTCATCAGCAGGGTGGTGTCAACATGGTAGCCGAGACGATGCAAAATCTGGGAATGGCTTCTCTCGCATACAATGATGTCTACATGCGTGAAAAGATACTCTCAGTGGTGCCTGATATGTTTGCGTTAAATGACCAGCAGATTGAAAGCACACCAAAGTATGTGCAGTACTTGAAGTGTGAGGGGAAGATTGAATCTGGAGATCCAGGCTGTCATGACAACAAATTCAACAATTCCGTGTGCGATAACAGAAAGGCGCGAACAAGCTGGCATCCAGGTAGGTCTTGGGCAAACCGGACACATCTTAGTTCACTGCTTTGTTTGGATACAAACTAATGGCAACATGATTGAATCCAATCGCTAACGATACTTTGGCTTCTGTTGATCCCCATCATCTGCTGGCTTGGAACTTGGCATCCAGGTTGGAAGGTATGCACTACAGTAGCTCTTGTGTGAACGCTCTTGACTGAGGTGGGCTTCTATTTTGTCCTCACTCTGGAGTTTGTCTTCTGGTGATTTTGAAGTATCATGCCCTAATGGGCAATCTCATGGCCATGACATTTCTTGATCTCTTTGAGGATGCCTTGCAAGGACTGATTGACATGGAGTGGGACGTAGCAGGGGATGACTTGGATGCTGCCAAAAAGATTGTGTTGGACAAACTTCAGTCTTTGGATCAGCAAGAGCAGGAAGACTACGACGGGATCTTCTCGAAACCAATGCCTGAGGAATTCACGCCACACATTCAACGGTGGTGGTCTGAATCCCGACGAGCTCATCTCCAAGACATGCCCGTTGAAGATTTCTTCAAGGAGACAAGTTTTTGCCATTCTGCCCTCTTGCCATCTGAAATCCGATTCAAGGGTCTCGTGACAGAAAACTTTACCAGTGTTGGCACCATTATGGATCAAAGCTTTGAGGAAGGAACTTCATGGAAGCCAATCTTTAAGTCTGAAAACCGCCACTTTGGGGGAGAATCAGAGCCTGTACCATACGAGGATCCCAACCCAGAAAAGAACAATGGAATCATGAGGTTGGTAAGGGAAGATGGTCAACGTCAAGAATGTGAAGAGTATGTGAATTTGGATTACAAGGACTACTTCTATGCTGGTAGTGTGGCAGACTGGCAGACCTTGGTGCTGCCAAATGACTCTGAGAAGAAGTATTACACTGAGTTTGATGCAGCCAAGAGCAAGGGATGGATTCTGGTATGCCTGACAAGGGTAAGTTGTTTCTGTGGTTGTGTGGAATATTCTATGGATGCAAAGTGATCTCAGTACTCTTCTTGTCATGTAGTGTGATTGGGGCCGATGCCCAGAATCAGACATTCACTCCTACTTTGGATGGGAGCGACCCCGACTTCGGGAGGGAGAAGAGCCACCATCAGCAGAAGAAATAGCCAAGAAAGGCACAGTGGAAATGACCATCAATGGTGTCCCTGTGACAGAAGCCTCTGATATGCACACCTGTTATTCCTTGAAGCACAAGGATGGCCATGTATGGAAGCCAAATTCCAATGGCCAGTATGAGATCAAAACCCGCATCACGGGTGCTGAATCTCATGCCTTTATTCGCTTCAGTGCCGTTGTTCTTATTTAGTAGATTAATGGTTAACTTGGTAGGATGCAGACTGTTTCAAAATTAGTCTACTTGTACGTGGTTACATAATAGTCGTACAGTTGCTTTATCCACCTGGAGCGCAGGATGCCTTCGGCTCTGCTGGGTTATGGAACAGGCTGTGTGGCGAGCTGCGCCTTCGAGCCAAAATTTGAACTCTTCTCAAGATTGCCGTCCCGCGAGAACGGATCACCGTCTCATCTTCTCCAAGCAAACGGAATGACATCGACCTCTCAACTCTAGCTAGACCCTCCAGCAACCAACCAACATTGTTGGCATGAGAACCAAACGGTAGTCTGAATGATAGGAGAAGCGAAAGGAGGGCTTCGACGATGATATATTCAAAACAGCAAGCGCTGATTCGGTGTTGTGCTCTTTCTATGCTACTTTTTGTGGTGGCATCCGTCACACTCGCTAGTAGCTCTCCTCCGCTCCGGACTATTAGTCGAGACTCTTCCGTGGAAATTGCTTCCTCTGCAGGTAAAAGTAGGACAAGAGAGACTGCCTTGAGACATGCTTCGAGCCTGTTGGAATCTGTGAGCATTACTGGTTTATGCCATCCAACCACCGATCAGTATGCGCCACAATTTCCAAGGTGTGCCGATGTGACAGAAGAAGAAGACGACCAAAGACCGAAAATAATACGACAGCGGACGAGATGGCTTGAGAATGAAGATGACAATCTACAACAGTACTATGCATACTACTACCAAAAGGACGACAGTAGTAGTAGCAGCAACAACAACAATGACGATGTGGTGGACAATTGGGCCACCGCTTCCGACGAGGAGCAAGAAGCTCATGACAAGAGACCCTGGTACTACGTCGTTCAAGCATCCGCCACCCTCCTCTGTGTCATTGTGGGCTCTGTTTCTTCTGGATTGTACGTGGGATTGTTGAGTATGGATCCACTCTTGCTAGTGATCAAGTCCAGGACATCCAAATCAGAGAGCGAAAAACATCGCATCGAACAGCTCCTGGCACTCATCAAACAACGACATCAATTGATTGTCACACTCCTCATCACCAGTTGTCTGGCAGCAGAAGCCATGCCCGTGTTCCTTCAGAGACTGGTTCACGACTATCTCGCCATTTTGGTTTCTGTCATTCTGGTACTCTTTTTTGGAGAAATACTCCCATCGGTCCTCTTTACCGGAGTCAACCAAATTGAAATGGCCAGTCGATGGGCGCCGGTAGTGCGGATATGGATCTGGCTTCTCTACCCAGTCACTTATCCCATTGCTTACATTCTAGAGGTGCTCTCATCTTCGGGTTCCACCAGACGACGGGGATCCGGTGGTTGCTGTGGAACGGATTCTTCTCTCTCATCCACAGAGGATAGACCCATTGCCAGCAGTGGAATTGGTGGTACCTTGTACAATAGAGGAGAACTGGCAGCCCTCATTAGAATCCAATATGAGGAACGGAGGGCTCGTCGACAACGCACCATGCAAAAACAAGCCAGTCTGGAGAGCATCAAAAACAATTCGGATCCCAATAATCAACCGACGACGCAACAACAGCAGTCGCAGAACCTCCATGATTCCGCCGAATTCTCTTCCCAAACCGTTTCGCCCACATCCTCGGTCGACTTGAAAACCTTTCGGAAAGATTTCCAACGCCGGGAATCCATGGTGTCCATTGACAGTCATGACGTGGAACGAATAGAAGGCGCCTTGCAGCTCAAAACCAAAACCGCCATGGATATCTGTCTCAGCTGGCACAAGGTCTTTTGCATACCCAGCGACATGATCCTAGACGAAACCAACATATTCACAATCTACGCCAGTGGCTACAGGTATGTATGCATATTCTGATCATGTATCAGAGGTTGGTGTATAGATCGATTGGTACGGTTGCCTTGACGACAATACTGGTCTTGTGGCTCACACCGCCTTGCTGTTCCTGCGCACCAACAACAAAAAGTCGCGTTCCGGTCTATGTGAACAATGATCGCAAACAGGTTCAAGGGATCCTTCTGACACGGCACTTGATGGTAGTCAATAGCAAGAAAGATGGCAGCAAAATGCCGACACCTTCGGATCTGGCTCTGCATCGGCCTCGATGTATACCCCCCGACACCAACTTGTCCGATCTGATTAGTCTGTTTCAGAGCGGAACCAATGCCACTCTGAGTCTCATGGCTCTGGTCTGTGCGAGACCACATATTGGCAACAAGGCGTTGGAAGAAGGAAGAGCCATACCGGACAAGGCAAGTCTCATGGGGTAAGCAAATGTTTTGTCATGGTGCATTCTGTTGTTGTGTAAAGCGTCGACTCCTTCTACCAAACTGCGTTGGGCAATCTGGAAAGAAGACTCACCCCATACCTTTGTTTGTTGCTGTCTGCATACTAGTGTCTGTACGTTGGAAGATGTCTTGGAGGCACTCTTACAACAGCAGATATACGATGAAATGGACGGCGTCTCTGGTAGAAACCCAAGAACGTCCCAGACGGCGGATGGAAACATGGACACGATTCAAGAAGCAACCAGCTACCATCCCATTGCCTGATGAGACCTTGGAGCAACTATTTGTTGTATCATCAAACCAAGCTACACTGTACTACCGTGCGGCAGAGACAGGTTGACCAAAGAAAACAAAAATTTACCAGCCATAGACGAAGAAGAACCACTGTACATGCTGTTTCTAATCCATACATCATTCTAAAAGCTAGAGCTTCAGTTACATGTACCGTACCGTAGTTGCAAAATCATCAAAACTTATCCTTACTATGGTACTTATAGTTGCTACTGGTACGGTGGGACTTGGCATGTACATCAATACACCAGCTCTCGAGCTAGTATCTGTCCACCAAATAGATCACCACCAAATATCTTTTACTGCTGAGATCAAGAGTGGACTCTGATTGAATAATATATATGCATCCGTGTACGGTACCGAATGCTCAAAAAGAGTCAAATCCTGTGACCCAGCCGGTGACTTGATCAAGATCTTCCAAATCTTGCTGCTCCTTCACCCAATAGGGCGTTGGCTGGCTGGTAGAATCTGTCGCGGTCTTTTGTTGCTGTACAGTTGTCGTTGTTGTCATTGTCGTGGTTGGCGCAATAATGGTAGTTTCCTCCACGGAAGCCATTGGTGCCATCGCGGAAAGGGCAAAGAACCCTGCCAGGAACATTCCACCAATGATAGGCAATACACCAACACCACTGGCCTGATTATCCACCGGTGGATCAAACCTATCAAAGGATGTGCTTGTTTGTTGCTGATTCTCATTCCATACGGGTTGTTCCACGGCCACTGCTTCTTGCACGATGGGTGGTGGCTTTGCCACTTGCCTCGGCTGAACCCAAGCACCCACAGGCGTCATCATGGTGCTGGTGACATTGTAGAAAGAACCTCCATCCATATCGACCACACTGGCAAAGCTTCGCGTTCTTGGCAGGAGTGCTTTGTTCGTCGATACAAAAGCTGGTCCAACCGATGCCGCCATGGGGAGCAACACCAAGGATGTAATCCAAACAAGAGCCATCATCCTACTAGTAGATAGATATCAATTTTAAGCAAGCAATCAACACAAGCAATAAATCCAAACAATGCGGAGCTTTTTATGGGATCCAAAAACTGCAACCTGTCAAGAAGAAAAGATTGGAATGGTTTGGGAAGAGGATCGTCTCGTTCAAAACAGAAGCTCATTGGAAGAGCAAAGTGAGAAGTCGAGAAGTCCCACCTGGCCATCATCACTTTGTTTGACAGTCCTTCTCGATATCTGTTGTTCCGGTTCGCGTTTGTGCGCACGTTCGGCCAAAGATTTCAAAAGCATGCTTTTTTGTTGCATTGTTTTTCTTCCACTATCAGGAACGACCATACCACGATGACAGCACCGCTTCCCGTCTGCTCAGCGAAGTTAAGCATCGTCGGGCCAGGTTAGTACTACGGTGGGGGACCACGTTGGAATCCCTGGTGTTGTTCTTTTTGCTATTTCGTCGGAGCTGGCTTGGCTTTGAGGAGATTCGATTCATCAACTAACTTTTGCCTACGGTATCCCCCTCTTTGTTGCGGTAGGAATGCAAGAGCTTACAAGTGGGATCGTTAGTACGGTACCGGTAGTGGCTGGGAGTGGACAATTCTGGGTTGCTGCAGTCAGCTTCCATTGCTTTGCCACATGTCTGGCTAGGCGTTGCAATATTATCTTTGTGCCCTCCGGCCACCAAGAAGTGGTACCGGTACCAGTACTGTACATTCGGTGCTCTTTCGCGATGTTTGCCGCCGCGTTCACGGTTGACCAGCACGGAAGGGTCGCTCCGTCGTCTATTCTAATGGTACCATACGAAATGGACCAGCCATTGATCCACACAATCACTTTTTCCACACCACAAGTCTCACAACCATCATCATCACTGTCGTTCGTTGATAGTATATTCTTGCCTACTAACAGTAGTAGTGCTTTTGGATTCCTTCATGACTCGATTGACTTCATTCTGAAATTGTCGTTTTCCCGTGGTGTCGATTGTGACCTTGCCGTCTTTCACCAAAAAGTCGTAGCCAAACAAGTTCAAGACAAAGCCCAACAAAAGGATTCCCAAGGCCGCGGCGTTAATGATCTTGTCTAGCTTGCCAAAGAGTGTCATGTTCTCAAATACAAAGGGATCCTTACTGGCTGCATCCAACATTTCCTCGGCAGCTGGACTCTTTATGGGATCTTCTTCGCTGTCCTCCTCCTTCTTGGCTGGACGGGGAAGGCAATTTGCTCGTCTCCCTATTCTTGGTCGAGTAGAAAATGGATTGATGCAAGCATCAGAACGGATCCAACCTTTGGTGGTAGAAGTAGGAATATGGACTGCTTTAATAAACCCCTCTGCAAGATCAGTTCCAACGAGAAAGCAAGCGACGACCACAACCGTGAAGGTTGAGAAAAAAGAAAAGCGCCAGCTTTGAGTTCCTTGTGACTTCATCAGCATTCTGCCTTGCTCCTACCTATACTTGAAACTGCTAGAGTAGACAGTGGGAGGGCTACTAGTCTAGTACCACTCATCAACTTTCAACTCCTTGCGATACATGTACTAGCTAGCTAGCTAGCTAGAGTATCCATGGCGGCAAAGACAGAAGACGCACGTCGCAAATCGAGATGAACAAATCAACAAGCCGTCGAAGTTGATAGGACGTCGCCATTAAAACTTCAGCAGCGCATGGGCGGATGGGCGGGGATCTCGATATCTGGATGCCAGACTTGTTCTACAGTACTTCGGAGGACACTTTTACTTATTCTTTTGATTCTTGCGAAGTGGTAAGTGGTATCCAATGTACATCCTTCCGGTATGTACGTTGCAATTGCTGGATTAGAAAAGGCCGGCTAAAGCCTCCTATCACTTCCTCACCCCTGTCAAACCTATTGTGGGCAGTCCCGGTATCCACAAGCACGACTGGGTCATCGGTTGGGATTTTATATACATCTACATACGAATATCTATATTAATACTTGGCCGGCTTGTCAAAAGTCATTGGATCGGCTAGTGGTTAATCATGTAAGATGAATGTGCTACATAAACTATATAGTAAAAAATCGAGAAACAAAAAAAGGATGCTCCACTGGTGATTGCACACAATTCTGAAATGGAAAACGGCAACACTTTGTCTTGTGTAGGGAAACTACACACATGCTACAATAAAGCTAAAACTAGTGTCACAATTCGGCAAGAAACAAGCTAGACCATTTACATTCTACAGATTCACACACAGCCATTTAGTAGTCATACTTGACATCTCTAAGGGCAGCGAGAAGGCCATTCCACAAATTGCCCTCGTTGTTTCTTCTCCAAACAAACTCAAACAAACAACCTTGAACCTACAGGCGATGCAGGAAACCATGATAGGTGAGTGATCTTGCTGTTCAAACCAATGCAATCGGGACAAACACATCCCGCAACTTACCTGCTTTTTTGTCCTCTTGCGGACTGGAACCATCCTCTTGATTCCATTCCACGTACCCTCGATGGTGTTGGTGTGGACCCCAGTCTCTGGGTTCTTGAAGTGCCTTGAATGGTTCACGCCCTCCCACTGGTAAAGTGGCAGGGACAAACCGTCTCCGAGATCCATCTCCAGATACTCGATAGAGAAGTAGACAGGCCAACAGTCACTCCTGATAATGGAGCCAGGCTTGATAAACTTGAGAATCAGAGGTAGCAATGTGTTACTATCTCTCTGGTCAGGGCTTCCCCACCCATTGCCCGCGTCACTAAAGCCACTCCGTGGCCATAGTTTGTTAAACTAACGAGTATTTTACACCTACTATCTCTCTGGTCAACTGTCACGGCAAACATCTTCCTCTCAGCAGTTAGCTCCACTCCACCAAACACCCACACACCTTCAACTCTATGTCCTCGGTGATATTTTCTCTTACCAAATTTGCTCTCATCAATCTCCACAATAACACCCGATCTGGCCCTGATCACTTAGGACAATAGAACAAACTAGCTGATGAACATAAGTAGTCCAATGCTGTACCTTGTTTTTTGACCACCCCGTATATGTAGCCAGCTGCTTTGATGTAGCGCCGCTCAACCAGTGGTACAGGAAGAGCATCAGCTTCCTCTTGCCACCTCGATGCTCTGCAAAGAAGGTCCCATGGTAGATTGATTGGGACCACGCTTTTCCATTGTCACGAACACAGCCACGGCATCTGCATCTCACAACCTGATCTTTGTTTGGAGGACTCAGCGCACTGTCGCATAAAGGGCAAAATACAGGGACTGAAATGATATTCTCATCAATGAGAAACTGTGCTGTGGATGCCTCAGACCGGAACAAGTAGTGTATGACATCTTCTGTAGGGATGCCGGTCTTCTTGTTGGCATTGGTCAGCACACTCATGTAGTCCTTCGAGGGGCTGTCATGGTGGAGCGCACGATCTACAGGGTCCATTACCGGCATGACGGAGAAAATGCTACACATATCAGTGAGTGAGCGACTGCTAAGGTGTGGGAGTCTTTCGGCACAGAGGGAGAAAAAGATATCTTTCTCATTCGTACAAAAAGCTGCACATGATCATCTTCCCCGTACACAGGGGAAAAACAGTGGCAATGATCACGAACAGCAAACAACTAGCTAGATGACGAACAAACAAGACTATTAGTACTACTTTTTAATGCCCTCTTAATCTATTATCCCCAGCATCACTCGTCCAACTGTCGTCCTAGCCTCTTGTTCATCTCTAGCTACAGCTCTGTGGTAGTGGCCAAGCAACCAAACTGGTCGGCAGCATCTGTAATGCCAAGCAACTAGCCGTTCCTTCACGAACAAAGCACTGCCTCCAACGAACAAATTCTGCCACCAACGCTCCCTCCAACACCGGCAAAACGCAGTGCAAACCATGTAGCCTCCCTAATGAAACTCCTTTCACGAACTCATCAGTTGAGACATCACCAGCATCTTACTACAGCCTCACCAGGTCCCTCATTGCTGCCTCCAGCAGAGATAATCGTAGGGCTGGGTACTTCCTCCACGAGAAGACGCAAGCCCTCACCACTCCCTCCGACAAAACAAGCCCTGGTTGATTGTTGCTCTCCATTCTCACTTTTTTTTGGTTGGGCCGAATAGACCACAAACAAAAGCCCCGATGTCACTCAAAGACGACCTTGCTTACGCCTCCTCAGATGGAGAAGGGGAGGAGAACCGGAAGCCACCACCCATGAGCCAAGCCCGACAATTCTTCATTCCTACACCAAAATCCAGCTTCAACAAGAACAGCACTGGTGACTCAAAGCAGAGCAAACGCAAGTTCACAGAGGCTTTTGGAGACACCTCGTTCTCTGACATTGTCTTCAACACTCTGACCACAAAGAAGAAGGCCAAGCCCACTCTGGTTGCTCCATCCACGGACAATTCCTGGAAACACAACGCTGAAAAGAACAAAAACAAGGCAAAGAAGGCTCCAGTTGTCCTGAGGAAGACAAAGGTGGAGACTGTCAAGGAACACAACAGCAGCGACGATGACGATGAAGTGCAGATTGTGGCACCCCCAAGAACTATGTCAAAAAGGAGTCTCCGGTAATGTTGAAAGACATCAAAGATCCCAAGCAAGCGGCCCGTGTCAGGTTGGCTCTGGAGCAGTCATCTGACAGCGATGACAGCGACAGCGATGATAGCATTTTTGCCTCCAAGGAGTCCACGGCCATCTTCAATGCACTCCCTAAGAGTGGAAGAACCCGTCGGACATCAACAGCAGCAGAAGAGATCCGCCAAAAGACTCAGATTGCTATTCCGGGAACGGCCTGGCGTAATATGTTGGATGCTCAAGCTGGTACAGCCACACAAATCTCCCAAATGAAATCTACGGTGGCAAAGCTAACTGCAAGGGTTCTTTCGGAAATGAAGGAGCTCCATTCTGTTCTGCAGACGGTTCCGAAAGGAACTGCAAATGAGGTCATCAACAGCATCTAAGTCCTGGAGAGATCTTGGAGAAGGGCTTCGCAGTGTGACTATGTGTGTCGACCAGAGAATGGACAAGGTGGAGCAGAGGCTTGCCAGCAAAATTGAAGATTCCCAGTTGAAGCTAGAAGGAATGGAGACGAGAATTATGTCTAAGTTGAAGGACTCTACTACTGACTTAAAGCGGCACACAACGCAGAAGTGCGCTGCAGGGCCTAGTGATGGATCATCCTCTTCTTCGAAATCGACTGCAAGTGGAGGACGCCGTGACAGCTGGAGTCTCCCAACCAATGCTGGCTCGAACACCTCAACTGAGGTTGTTCTAGAACGTTTGGAGGCTCAGGATGGAATCCTCAACCACATGGACAGCCAAATTGACTGGCTACTCGAGATGGTCCAAGGTCTCCAAGCAAAGTGTCCGGACCATTCTACAATCAAGAAGAAGGGCAGTCCAGCAAGCACGGTGATCACCACAAGCTCTGATGGCACTGGTACTTACACCAGAAACCAGCGCATGCAAGAGGCTTTTGAAGGACGGCGTCACAGCAGTTCTGGCACTGGCAACAATACCCGCTATGTGAGCATGACAGTCAATCAGTACTCTAAGAGTGTGCCCAACGCCGGCGGCACACCCTCCCTGAAGACGGCACCAGCTCCATCTCCGGCCACAGCTCCGGCAAAGCCACCTAAAATTCAGTTCCAGCATGTTTCTGAAGTGATCCCATTCTCTCACGAACAGAACCACCGAGTTGGAGAGAAGCAAGCCACTATCCCTGCACGTGGCCCCTTCAAGGACCCTTATGCCCAGTTCAGCCAGAAGCAGAAGACTCCACAGTTCCACAATCCGTACAGGACCTCGGCAGCTAACAGCAATGCAAATCCACCTTCTTTTACTCAGCAGATGCCACCTCTTTCTCAAGCAAAAAGTGACCGCGATGGAACCAACTTTGGCAGTACTCAGTTTCACTCTCAGAATGAGAATAGTCCCCCTAATGGCCAAGTTGATGTTTGAGCCCAGAATCACGCCCTTTCATCGATGGAAACTATTTTTTGGTTTTCTGACTACTGTAGAAACCATACAAGTCGGTCCCGAATTATCTCATGCCAAGTCTGGCTTTCCCAAGCTTTCTTGGCTGTTCCGAAGACCAAGCTCCTGAGAATACGAGCCAGTTGTTATGTGTTTGGTCGCGTAGTTAAATAACCTGTACTTAAAGTGAAGTTACAACGAAAACCACTCTAAACCCATCTAGTGTCCTGTACCGGCAAGACCATTTTGCTTCACACGACTCTTGGACTGAGCAGAAGTCAGTACCTGTTGTATGCTACGAAATCTGTCTAGTTCAACTTTCGGACCCAGCAATATGGATGCCATTAATCGGGCTGGATATAAGGGGGGAGGCACCCGTGACAAGGTGGCTCTGTGCAGTCATTTCGGAAAATGGGGCAAGCCGTTGACTGCTTCGGCCGTTAACGGCCGTGCTTAATTACCGTGTATGTGATATACATATCTGTATGTTTTATTGCGCTGACATCACTAGGGACCTAAAGATCGTGAAATCGATTTCACAGGGTGTGGAAGTGATACGAGACCAAATCCGAAAAGGCCTGGTGGTCAATAATTCGTCAAACAAGATCAACGATTGTCCAAATTTGTGCCGCAAACTTGGAAGGGCCCGCGTTTTGGCTCCTTGCTCCACTCCTCTCTAGCTAGCTATAGAGAGAGGAGTGCTCTAGCTAGCTAGCTAGAGCACTGGCTGGGAAGCACGCGAACGTGTAACGTGTAGCATGTAGTTTCTATGCCAGAAGTGAAAAGTAGTTTATAAGTTCGTGTGGCCGGTGGCTGTGTTAGTACATGTATGCGGTATGCGAAGGTGGTCAGGCCTCAAAACCTCACAAGAAACGTAAACAGCTAATCAAAAACATACTCTACGTACATGTACTCACAGAGTAAGGAAGTGGCTGTGACAGGCCAAACAGGACAACATGACCTTCTTGGGAAGCGCCTGAAGCAGCCATCAAATAGCCATCAAATAGTCCTCACGAGTTCATCTGGATCAAAAGGTGAAGGGAGTATTGGCGGAGTACCGTACCGGTAGCTGTGGAGTTTGGAGTCCAAAGTCCAATAGCTGTCCAATGATCCTCCTCTCCTCCTGAGGGCTGGTCCTAACCGCATTCATGTGGTTCGTACGTACGCCGAGAAACACATTTATTTCCATTTATTAATCGCGTATGTGGCTTCATTCTTAACCAGCATTCGCAGATACGTCATTCGCGAATACGCCGAACTCATCAGGGTTAGGGTGAAAGATTCTGCCAAAACACAATCACCGTGCATCAGGAAAACTCGTGATAATTGTACATGATTGTTCTTTGATAGAATCTCGTTGGTTGCTACCGGCTGCCGAATGGCTACTAGTACATGTACTTCTTCTCACTTTTCAATGATTCGAGGACGTGCTCGAGATCTCACTTTTCGATTTTCGAAACTCGCTAGAGTTGGGGATAGCTAGTTTCGAGATAATGAGTTCTGATTGGTCCTACGCGAATTCCAAATCCATTCATCCTGCGAACCGCAGTTCCACTTTTTTACATAAACATTTTCTGCGGTTCGCCGTACGTGTGGATTTGGAGGTCCCCTTTCCGAATTCGGCAGTTATTTCGATTTGGCCTAGGTACGAACGTCATTTAAGCTGGATAGGACCAGTCCTGAGCCCTTTGAGCCAGTGGATGGAATTACATTCAGGCCAAAGAGAAGTGTTCGGGATTCGGGACGGCCTATGCTGCCCTAGCTCTGCCCATTCTCTTCTGCGCGACCATTCCAGGCCACAACGAAACAGTAGTACAAGCCATGGATAAGTCAACCAGAATCCTCGATTCTATGCATACCGCTATCTGTCACTGTCCACTGTCTACCGGTACTGTCCCAGGATTACGCTGGTACCGGTAAGGCTCCAAGCAAAAGATGAATTCTGTTCAAGCTCGCGCTTGGGTAAGCCTAACTACAACGAAAATGAAATAGTGAGCTGCCATTCTCGTGGCCTCTGGCTGGCCTTGTGTTGGCACTCTCGTCTCTTCTATTTTTATTATTTATTTGGCCTGGCTGCGATGCTCCCACGTGCAGGTACTACGGTCCCATGTCCCAACTTCTCATTACTAGCTATTGCAATAGCTATTGACTACTAGGTAGTATTGATGTGGGTGATCTCTTCTTGGCCTTGATTCTCACCATCGTTTTTCTTTAGAAAGGAGCTTCACAGCTTCACAGCTCTATTAAAACTGCAGCTGTGCTGAGATTCTGTGCCCATTCTGCCACATTTTGGTGCAACAAGCACTTAAAAGTCGTTTGTGAAAAGGCTATTACTAGTCTTCATGGTGCAGCAGTGACTATTGGAGGCCTTGAAGTACATTGAAGAGCTGTTCTCTTTGTGGTCGCCAAAAGCCTGCCTCGAGTAGGAGTGCTCAAGCTACTTTGCATGACTGACTGGACTCGTCACTCTCACGCCCTCACGATTCTTGAGCGGTCAACAACGCCATTCGATTGATTGAACCGAGCTCTGCCTCCAATCCCATAATTTGTTGAAGCCAATCTCCCGACTCCATCATAGCATCCTACCATAGCCATGAATAAGACCGAGATGTTCTGCTGCCCCGCTGAAGAGACCGTGGAGTGCTGCTCCACCAAGGCTGCCGTTACCCTGGTCGGACTGATTAAGGCTGAAACGACAAACGAACCGCAGCTTTCTTCTCCCGGAATTTGCCCTTTGTCAAAGAGAGGACCGTCCCCTATCGAGTTTAAACCCCATCAGCGAGATGTATGGGTTGACTGCAATGACGTCCCATGTGGCAGTCCCCCTCCACCCAAGAAACGCAAGCCCACGTCGTTTGAAGAGTTTGCCGCGCTGGCCTCCTTCTTGAAGCAAGAACGCGAAGTCCTCAAGGAATGCAAGGCAGACAAGATTAGCACATTCTATCAACGGAACGATTTCGACACAGGGATGGTGGCAGAATGGCGCAATAGTGGCAATCAGGTCTACTCCGGCATGCTCGAACGGATCCGACGCCTAGAAGACATGGAAGCCAAGTTTGGTTCTTGGGAGGAACACTTTGGTGGCCGCTAATGTTGAAATCTGCGAAGTGTTTTGGTCCGCTTTGGGCCCTTCATCATTTGGTATCTTTCTTCTGGCTAGTGATGAGTGGTGAAAGTTGAACCCGGTACATGTATCTGCGGTATGCCACAAAATACTAGTACGGGAACATTGGACGGTATTATATTAATTATTTATTAAATGAAACATTATTTCGATTCGTTTCGATTTCATTCAGCAGTTCATTTGCTAGCAAACTATGTCACTCGGTCCAACCATTGGTGGTGATATAGCTAAAGAAAATAGCAGCTGAAAAGGAAAAGCCACGGAAGCATCACCTCTGTACGTCTTAATAAAAAATATAATTCAGTACAGTAATTATTTCAATAAATCAGCTGCCGTATTTCCTTTTTGAAGGCTTTCTTTGGTCTTGTCCCTGCTAGCCTGTGCCAAAAACTTTCAATGTCTACCGGTTCCTATAAGGCGACCAGCAACGATTAAAGCTCAATTGATTGAGCCCAACTCTGAAGCAGACCCATTGCTCATTGATACCCAATTGGGAGAATCGAATCAAATTTTGATTGAATAATTAATTTTCGTACCTCGAATTTCGAGTCTTCTTCTTTCTTAAACGCAAGGATGCCTCACGTGACCAATAAAACTGTGCCTCACAAACTTTCCTTGCTTTTGGTTTGGGCACACCGGTACCCTAATCCAGTTGTACCGTACTAGTAGTAATTCTACCACATGAATCGAATCTGAACTGCCAAAGCGTCAAGGTAACTAGCAAAGCGCTTGACGTTCCGGATTACTTGCTGGTTCATGCGCATGCCATCATAATCCAGAGCCACCGTGCACCAAGAAGGCCAACCGAATAACGAAAACAGCAAAATAGCAAAACATCTCTAGTTGTGCATATAATATTCTCTTGTTCCGTCTTTATCTGCCGGTACTAAAGAAACCAAACTACACCAGCAGCTACTGCCACAACAGCCCACAAAACGGTATCACAACTTGGCAAGGCACCATCACTTTCTTGAGGTGCATCAGTGGGAATCGGAACCGGTTGAGGAGGTGGGTCATCACTACTAATCAACTGGGCAAACAATGTGGTTACCGCAGCACTGGCATCAAAGGAAGCTGAACTAGCAGTGTTTTGTCGGCCATGATTGTGCTTGATGACTGCTCCTTTTCGATCCTGTTGTACCTGCAGAATATACCAGTAGAGAGGCTGCTCATTGTCATAGAAATCTCTGTTACAAGATTGTTGGTTGAGATTAGAGACCTCCGCCAAAAAGTCCGTGTAGTCCGTGCTGGGAGTGTTTTGGTAACATGTAAAGGTATCATTGCCTCGTGGCCTCGACGAACATTTCTGGTTGAAGAAATGAGTCCAGGTAGCTGTTTCTGGGGCTTTGCTACCTGGCTGATATGGTCGGCATCCAAAAACAACCGAGTTGGCGTTTTCTTCTGCACCTGTGGAATACAGTTCACATGCCAATGGAACAGGATTGTTGATATCGAAGCTGGTAAATTCAACAGGGCCAAATTGGTACCAGTTTTCACAAGAGTAGGAATAACAACTGCCGTCCCAACCGCAAAACGCAGTGCCCTCCTCGGCTCCATCAGCAATACAAGGCTCTTCACTAAAGGATGTTTCATCCCTAGGAGTACCAGCAGACCAGTTAATGCAAGATATAAGCTCGCAGTTTCCAGAACTACTGGAACAAAATTGACCTCCGGGACAGTCTGTGTTGACGGCGCAAGTAGGGGCCAAAGTTGGACGAGGAGTGGGGGGACCACTGGCCACAGGGGCAACGGTAACATTACTGTCGAGAGGGGGAACCGTTAAGATGATGTCGGGATCGGTAACATTTTCGTCTTGCGCCCTTGCCAAGAGAATGATAGCTGCGGAGGCAACAACAAGGAATAGAGTTGACGAAGAAGAAACTAGCTTCATTATGCCATGGTAGTGCTCCTTCTGACTCGAGTGCTTAGGCTTTTGACATGCAACAGTTAGTTCATCGTCATCTTCTACTGGCTAGCAGTGCTCATGCAATGCGGCAGTTGCATCCAAACAGACAAGAATTTTCGAATAAGCTTGCAGAGCCAGCAATTCCTTTGAGGTCCGCATCATGCCGGTATGTCCTTCCAAACCGCACCTCGCAGCGTTCAACAGAAGATGGCAAAGAATTGAAGAATTGAACCTCAACAGAAGATGCAATCGAACAAACAGGGAGATTGATCATTCTTGTCGGTGAGAACCCCAGGAACAACCATTTAATTAATACTCGAGTAAGCCTTATTTCACAACGTTTTGATGGAGTGACAACGAGGTTCAATGACATTGTGTGCACTGCAAATGCAGCTGCAGCCAGCTGGTACGGGGGGGACTATTCTCCCAGAGGGTCATTAGTCTGATGCTCCTGAAATTTTGCAGTTGGTGGAGTGTTGCTTTTTGCTTACTTTGCCCTACTCCGAGGGCTCCTTTTTCCCTTTTTTCACTGGCTAATCCAGCAAAGTATGAGCTGAAAGACGATGTTGGATGTACCAGTACTAGCTAGTACGTGCAAACGGTCTGGTATCAGCTGCTGGCCCATGGCCCAGTAGCTAATTTGACGTTGGAAGCATGTAAGAGAGACAAGTAAGTTGAGTTCAATACTAATCTGCTCTGGATTCTGGAACTCTGGACTCTGGAGTACTGTGCTAGCTAGATAGCTACTGAGCTAGTACTGTTGAAACTTGCTTGAAGGTTGAAAAGAAGAGCTGTAGAAAGTCGCAAATAACAGGGCTGAGGGGTGAACCAAGGGCAGTTCCACTTCCAACTATGATAGGTAGGACCAGAGAACTGGCAGATGCGGCGCTGCAGCCACACTTGTGGCCAAGGGCAAGATGGGAGATGGGAGAGCGGTAGGTGAAGTTATCGACCACTGGTTAACCTGGCAGCTCCTGGCCATAATGCCAGCGTCACGGCTCGCTAGTTATCTAGTTATCTACTCGGAGTAGTATTTTAATACCGGTAGCCACTGTCAGTGTCGAGAGCACAAAGACTCGATAAGTCCCTGGTCCCTGTGGTACCGGTACCAGGATGCCAGCATTACAGAAAACCTTGAACATACTACTAGTACTGGACCTCTGTGGAAACGTCATTTGTGGCAAAATACTTAAGAGACGATACACCGAGGAATAGGAGACGATCGAAATGATTTAAGAGACGAAAACAATCGTCTAATATATTTAGGAGACGATTCAGTAGGAGACATTCCAATTAGGAGACGAAAATTTCGAAATAGGAGACGATCTGAAAGATTTAAGAGACGATACCATACAGTTTACATGGTACACTTAGGAGACGATCCGTTGAGAATAGGAGACGATCCGTTGAAAATAGGAGACGTTTTAAGAGGAGACAAAAGATTTAAGAGACGATCCGTTTCGTCTCCTATTTTTAGGAGACGAAATCCATTAAATAGGAGACGATCAAAAGATTCCACTTTTAGGTCAAGTGGAGCTACTAGACTATAGCAAGATCATGTCAATATGGGTCTATAGAGGTTGTAAACCTCCCCTCCAGACTAGGATCCAGGCAAAGGCAATGGCCCTGGTTATACCAGAGAGGCCTGCTGCATGTATCACAGACAGACCTACTTCCATCCAATTTACCCGGGCGGGAGGGAAGGGAAAAAGGAAAATTGGTGTCGGGCGGCTGCAACTCTGGTTCAGAAAAAGTGAACCTGATTTGTAGCCGCCCGATTAGTAGTCCTTCTAGCTAGTCATCAACACCACATAGGCACACCACCTGTGCACCCGACACTTCGGTCCACCACCTCATCCTTGGATGAGTGGCTCTCCCGGATTCCTGTCCGTCAGTCTCCCTTATGGTCGGCTCCCTGTTAACTCATACTCTCCGTTCTGTAGAATCTCTTCATTCCCTGTCTGGGAAGGTGGGCGATTCCACTTTTAGGTCAAGTGGAGCTACTAGACTATAGCAAGATCATGTCAATATGGGTCTATAGAGGTTGTAAACCTCCCCTCCAGACTAGGATCCAGGCAAAGGCAATGGCCCTGGTTATACAGAGTAGGCCGTGCTGCATGTATCCACAGGACAGACCTACTTCCATCCAATTTACCCTCCGTTGGAGCCAGACCCTCATGAATGACCATAGATATAATCCTCCGTGTCGGCCGGCCAAGGCGGCCAATTACGCCGCCGACTGCCCGGGAGGTGGCGAGCTTTGCGTGTTGGTGTTGTTGCGTGTGTCTAGGTTGTGTGCTTGTCCTCGCGCGTGTTCTTTTATGTCCCGTGGCGCGCGCTCTTGATATTTCGACTTGTTGTAGAAAGTAGTCGTAGACAGTTCTTACTCCATGAGCTGGGTGATCTGCGCGAGTTGTTCTCCCCTTCAATCTTCCTCACCGCATATCTGACATTGAGTTGCTCAGTTTCAATGGTTAGGATCCAAGAACAAATCCCATCACCATGGTCCACAGCCCTGCCCAACCATCTCCCAAGCCTCTCATTTCCACCAA